AAAATAATTTAAAAAAAAAGTTAACATAAGTGCTGTTATGGATAGAATCAAGTCCAACGAACAAGAGGAGGATATACAATATGTTTTTGTTTTATTTGTATTTGGGACAACATAGCAAAGACTGCGCATTTGGTTGGACAATATACGACTAAATGTGAGAAATGAACGAACTCTGAGCTTTGAGAAATCTAAAGTCGGAATTTTTAAGGGTCTGCAAATAAGAAAATCGATAAAGGATCAAAACTTTAATAATAACTTGAATGATGTTGAAGAAAAAAATGCCTGGAATTTATTCGTTTTGATTTTAGAACATTTTCTAATAAACAAAAAGGATGGAAGCTATGAGGAGCATATAGAACTGATGTCACCCAGCATCGTGGTTGTAATATGAGCATCACGACACACATCCTCGACAGCCATTTGGACCGTTTTCCTGAAAATCGTAATGAACTGAGGTTTAGGGAGCATTAAAAGCAGCCTTCGTAAACTGAAAATTGTTTGATAATTAATGGCTGGCTTTCTTAATAATAAATAGATTTTTCTTAAAAACCGCTGAAATAAATAATCTGACTTCAGTTCTGAAATCAGCACGCCGAAAAAGCATAAAATTAGTCATGTTTCCCGCGTTGCCAAATCGTATTATGTCTTGCTATGGCACATTGTATTGTGTTTACATTTCGTTTCCGATATGCGAGTAATCGTTAGATATGATAGAGATATATTCACACAGATATGTATGTACGAGTATTTCAATCACAAATCAATTGCAACATTTTCATATTTTATGTTTACGATTTTTTCTCTGTGTGTGTGTATTGCACTGTAAACCAAACAGGTTTTTATTTTTTCTAATTTTCATGTTTACACTTCCAAACAAAGCGTTCGACCTTGACATAATTGCCTTAATAATATTTCATTCTCAAAGTAACGAGTTTATTTTGGTTCCGCTTGCTATTCATCAACGTGTGTGCGTGCGTGTGCATGCGCATATAAAAAAGTTTTTCTATTTGTTGTGATTTTTCTTTGATTGTAATATTTATTTTGATAAAACCAAAGTCTATGGAACACAAGGTTACGACGATCGTTGACGTCACCATACCAACTTCGTCATATTTACATATTTATATCGTCATAAAATTTTTATTTTTATTTTTTTTTTATTTTTTTTTTTTTATTTAATATAATTGTCAACCAAACGAAGTTAGTATGGGAAGAATTTTTGGATACAGAAAAAAACACAATTTATACAATATTTTTATTTTGAAAATATAAATCTCCTTACTTACACATGAATATCTATGTATGTAAGGAACAAATGTATATTTTATGTTTTTTATTTTCCAAGTGAAATACATTTTTCACATCGTGAACACAATGCCTTTATAGCACTGAAAAAATATTCTTTAGATTTCTCTTCAAAATTGTTTTCTACGTCCGCTTTCATCTAGATGTCGCCTGAAAATCTTCTAAAAAAAAAAATTAAAAAGTCATTGGGGGCCAGGTCCGGACTGTGAGGTAGAGGATGGCCAATTTCTGTAAATCCAGTAGCTTTTAAGGCATCTCGCTCGCAACCCGAGCGGTGTGCACGTGTGTGTTGTCTTGAAGAAATAGAACTCCGCGCACTAACTTGCCACTTCTCTTCTGTAGGACTGCCTCACGCGCCTGATTCAACGAATAAGCGTAATACTGGCCCTTCATTGTAGTTCCCTTCGGCAAGTAGTCAATTCATTATATTTCCTCACTATACCAGAAAAAGGGCAGCCATAAATCTGACGCCGACTTTTACTCTTTGAATTGTTCGGTTGGCCTTTCCCCTTGTTTTATCAAGCACATTTAATCCTGCTCGGACTCGATTGCAAATTTCATCCAAATCATCTTGGCACGAGTACAAAAAATCTTTACAACTCTCCAATCGTAGTTGCTTGTCGAACGGCGCGAGCATTCGTGGTACCCAACACTCACTAATTTTTTTCATATTCAAATGTTCATGCAAAGTTTGTTCTTTGCTAATCTCTAGTCCTTTTGCTATCTGTCACAATTTAATTCTTCGATCAGCCAGTACTATATTTTTAACTTTCTGAACAATTTCTTCGGTCACGAACCGTCACTGGGCGCGCATGGCGGGGGGTCATTTTCACAGGTCTCTCTTCCTTGGTGAAACAACCGAGCCCATTTTTCCCAATCGTATCTAAAGGGCATTAATATACACCACTCTTGCTGAATCATAACCAAAAAGACGCTTTCTACACGTATTAGGAGTGCATGCCATAAAGAAAACTGTTTACCTGTCGTTTGGGATTGCAAATTTTCGAGATCGAACCTCTCTTGAGTTTGTTGCACAGAGCGGATGCTTGTCTTGACTGCAACGCAATGGTGTTAGGACTCCATAGAGTATTTGGACTAGTCGATATAATATCGAGGCCAAAACCAAGTAGCTTAATGAATTCGTTTATGTCCGAATCTGTTTTACACGTTACAATAGTGCGCCGACGGGGTCGATAAGCCTCAGTCCATTTTGAGAGGTTCCCTCGTACAAGGTGATATTTCGACTTTTGCGTCATGGACACCTTCTTGAAAAGACGCCAAGAAAGATTTCAATGTCATTACAGGGGCAGCGTCATTTTCGGCCATCGTCGGTATGTTCAATAATGCTGTTGTGGCTAGATGTTCGTCCACTGAAAGTACTTCGACCTCAGTCCAATGTTACCGGTTGACCTAAGCGATGTTAAGTCGCCGAAAGGGTGACAGCTCTTGGCCGGTAAAGAATTTGGGTCAGCTCCGGTGCGTAGAACCAGCAGTCGTGAGAAGTCATTCACTGGGAGTCCGTCAATACCTTCATGAACTTTTTTCGAGTGAATAGCGTTCTCGGAGTCAAATCAACACCCATAGCAGGCGAAGAGCTCGAGCTTTCTCGAGAGACCAGCGTAATACTGGCACAGCTTAAATCTGGGAATTTGTAGTAGAATACTAAACTCATACCTATCCAGATTTAGCTCCGGCATATCCTACGTAAGTCCTGCACGACCCTAACCACCTCTTTTCATGTCTCCTAAAATCAACTCATCTAAGCCCTCTTTTCTTTGGTCCGAACTCGCTGAAACAACTCGTTTCCTGGACCTCCTGTTAGGTGACCTTGATGGCTTAGACTTATCTAGCCCAGCAGGGGTTAGCAAACCGCTACACTCCGTGACTCTCTCTTTCAAAACCAACAACAAATTAGCTCTACTTTATATAGCCAGGACTGAAGTAGTAGGAATTTCGGAATATTCCCCTCTTTTAGGTATAACAGGCCTAACGCGGGTTGGTTACTGAGGCTGGGGGAAGACTTACAAAAGTTTCCAGGGTGCACGACTTGAACGTAAGAGTTAGAATACCCAGCAAAGCATTTTCGTATATTTTCGAGTAAAACTCACTTGCCCTTAACTTCTTGATACCTTCACCAGACTTAGTCGGAGAGTAAAGGAACGCAACTTTTGCTTTCTTATTGATTTTGACTTTCAAAAATTTGACTTGTTTTTCATTTAGATTTCACTCATAAATTTAAAATTTTTTTTTTTGTTTTTAAATAAAATTGCTTTCAGCAAATTCGATTTATGTACTTTGGAATATATTCAATTATTTACAACAGAAACTGATATTTATAATTGGTGTGAGTTTTGCAAGCTGAGAAGAGTTTGAGAAGAGCTCTTGGACATTCCGCTCCAAATTTTTAAGTCCGCCAATGTACAGCCGTAAAGAATTGATATGAATTTCGCTACAACGAATCGGTAGCAAAATAGAAGCATACGAGGGAAACAAGGCACAGCTGATTTACAAATACAACAACTCGCTTTTGTGTTATCTCCAAATAATTGGTTACTGTAAACAAACAACATTTGAACATATTTATCTTTTTAGAAAACCCCTGAAAAATTTTTAAATCTTATGACTCATTGGAGTAGCTATTGATTTACTTCTCTGTAGTGTAGCCTTGGACCAAATCACGTCTCGCTAACAACAAGCTGGTAGAAGATTGTTCAATTTTCGTATCTAGTCTTCTACGGGGTGTGACAATGAAGTAATGATAAAAATCGTATGTTTCAAAAGTATTCTACAACTCTGCCATTCCCTTCAAAGTAATCCCCTTGGGCAGATCGAGCAAAAGCATAAATTGAAATGCAATGTTTGGAATACCTTTATTACTTTCCTAATTTAATTTTATGTGATAAATATTATGTTTTACTAGCTTTTGACTAGAGCTGATTATATTCAAGACTAACCCCTTGCGGGTTAGGGGCTCAAGAATTTACCAGCGGTAAAGCATGTCTGTCGTAAGAGGCGACTAAGATCCAATAGTTCCCGCGACAGTCGGGTCTTTATACCGGAACGACCCGGATTTTTATCCGGCCAAGGACTGTCACTCCCGCAAAATTCCCCAAAAAGTACTTTGGGGAATAATTTTGCGGCTACAACAACAACAACAACAACAACAAAATATTCAAGACTAAAAATTATGTTCCAATGTAATTTTTTCGTAGTTACTCCATAATGTAATCCACTGTAGGTGCTCCATGGAGAATTCCTGGTGGAGTAGTTTTAATTTCCCGAAGGAAAGTACTCGTATGTTATGTAGAGATGTTATCCGATTACTGAAGCGGTGGAGTACATATATGGTCCAGCCCTAGGACATTGAAAAGACTATTAATTATAATTTGAAGGGATTGTGGTTAGTTTAGGAGTAGTCAATTGTTCTTTTGAAATATATATATCATGCATGCACTGAGTAGTTGTATTTTTCGCCGGTATTTACCACATTCGTACATATATACATACGAACATACCAGCAAAATCCATAAGAGCGCGTTTACATAGAGGGGAATTGATAAGATTATCGGCTTTCTCTTTACAAACCTTATCGTATACGGAAAACACAATAAATAAGAAGGAAAGCAAACAAGAGTGGATGATGTCTGAGGCACATTTATTATTAAATATAATACGTTCACCTCTTTTATTTATAGACACGACCGCAGACTGAAGTAAAAAAGGCGGAAAAATTGTTTCTACTACCACGTTCAGATACTGATCTAATCTGATTTGGCTACATTCCCAGAAAGTGGTTAAGCGGACTGAAGTTCAGGAATGGGTCAGCTTATGGTGAAACTAGCGGTACCGCTGCAGCATTACAGCGACAGTGTAGTAAATATATTAGCTGGACGCCGCAAACGTAAGCGCTCACTCGATTCAAGTAGCTCCTCAGATGAACTGAAGGACAATGAAACGCAATCGCCTAAAAAGTAAATTTAACATTGTTTTTTTTTTTTAAGAAAAATCGTAATTTAATTTTTACAAATTTTTTTTTTTTTTTTTTGCAGAAAAAAACTACTCACCACAACGCAATACATTTATCAAGCTCTTTTTAAAGAGCAAAAAAATTCAGACATTGCTGTTATGGCATTAGGCAAGGTTTGGAATCTGCACAAAGTTTATCTCTGCCAGAGTCCGTATTTTTACAGTATGTTCAATGGTTCTTGGAAGGAGTCGTGTCAGGATTTTGTACATATAAAAATTCTGGATGAACGCATCACACTGGAAGGTGAGTCAAAAAATATTTACGCAAATTCTATTTTTATAGATAATAAACTATTGGTTTTATCTTATCTCTAAATTAAAGCGCTGGACGCCGTTTTTGGTTCCATGTACTCCGATGAGATAGAAATCGATCCGAAGGCGGTAATTTCGGTATTGGCTACAGCGACGCTTTTCCATTTAGATGGTATAATTGATAAATGCGCTGAAGTTATGATTGAAAGCATCAACGCTGAAGTGAGTATAATGAGGTTTTTTATTGATACATTTTTACAAACAATTTTTGTTGTTGTTGTATTTTCAGACTGCCATTAATTACTATGAAGCAGCCTGTCAATATGGCAGCGTGAATGTGAAGAAAGCTGCCATGGTTTGGTTGGAAACAAACTTGTTATGTATCTACCCAAAAGAAGAACGTCTACTGCGACAGATCAGCGTCGAATTAATGACTGAATTAATCACTAGTCCAGATTTATATGTAATGCAAACTGAGTTTTCCTTATATACATTGCTACGTACATGGATATATTTGCGTTTACATCCACTTTACGATCCTTCAAATCCTTCTGCAACAACATCCTCAACTACTAATGATGATGACAGAGACAAGGTTACGAGTAGCAATAGCAACGCCGGTGATGGCGCATCACTTGCAGATCTCATACAAGCGTATTTTTCGAATCGCAGCGAAAAGCGCTCATTCCTGGCCACACTCGAAGGCCAACAATTTGTGCCAGCATTCCAAGCGCTACGAACACAGTACTTAACTAATCATCACACCGATTTGAAAATTGTACTTAATGACAATATTATTCCAAAGGACTGGCTGCACAGTCATGTACTGACCCATTGGAATTCAATTTTAAAGGTCGATCACTTACCAGAGGAGGGGTGAGTCAATTTCACTGATTGAAGACACTATATACAAATACGCATGAATCTTATGCATTCTCATAGCTTTTTGTTAGTATAAAATATGATTTCTCATATTCTCAATTGAAATTAAATGGATTATCATAATTTGTTTTGCGGATTATCGTTGATTTATTTAATTTAATAAATATATATCATACCATTTTATAATTAATTAATTTCTGCATAAGTTATGTAATTTCTTATCCGAAAGCATGCATGCTAATACAATTCCTGAATAAAAAGGTGATACATGAAAAACGGTAGGTTCATGGAGTTTCTATAAATAGTAAATTCCTTTTAATAGACCGTTAACTCTTCATCCGTTGCGAGCAGCTATGCCTCTGTCCTTTACTTTCCGACTAAGCCTGTTCAACATTCGAAGTTGAATGAACCCTCAATTAATGTCATGAGGCTTAGCAAACATTGAACCATGGCAGTTGCTCAGTTTACAAGAAAGAGTAACATTTTTATTTAACAAATAACTGGAAACGACGGTATATATTGAATTAGGGGTGCTACATTATTTGAGACAAAATTGTTTAAATACTTTTCTGCGTCCTTAAATTCTATTCAGAACTCAACACTTTCACTGGAATAGTCTTCAGCTATTTTTATTCACAACAGCCTTATCTCAAATCAGTATCCGCTTGCCTACTCTCTCTGAAACGGTCTAATGGAGAAAGTTTCCTTATTGAGAACAAAACATGAAAATTGTATAGCAATACTACAGGGTGCATAATGCGTGCAAGTTTTTGAAAATCTTTTTTTTCGTGTTTTAAATTCTAACTAAATTTCATAATTTTTACAGGCCACAAAATCTAGATCCGGATGTCTTCTATAAGAATTGTATGCGTTGTGGGCGTATTTTGCTGGAGCCCGGTTATCAGAAATGGCGATGGACTGGTTTCAATTTCGGTTTAGATCTTGTGCTGGTCGCAGATTCACGCCTGCTCAGCATACGTCGCCACCACCGCAATGAACATGAACGTTTGCTAAGTCTACAAACGAAAAGGCAGTTTATGATACGGTAATTCATACATGAATATGTTCAAACACATACATATTATTATATTCTAAAGTATAAACCTATATTTTATAGCACTTCAGTGACGTCGATCAATTCACAGCGCCAACCTACCTTTACACAAAGGACCGAGGTAACTTCCCTCAGTCTGGAAAAGAATCAGGAAGTGACACTGATGCTTATGGACACAAAACTGGTGCATCCCTTGCTCATATCAGTCAATCTCCTGGTAGTTATGCCGACGTCTCAACAATTCAAGCAGCATGTGTTTAGCAATGAAGAAATTGTTAATGCGACAGTTCCTATATCGGAAATCGGTGCCAATTGTAGTGCTGACGGCGATGTCACGTCTCTGCAACGGCCAGTCACACCCACAAACGATATTACATCGGGCGAACGAATGATGACGGCAGATGATTCAGCGGTATGTGTGGTACCACCTTCTCCGCCAAATGTGCCATCTCTGCTGATATTCCCTCCAACGCAGCGTGCAGCCTCTACGACATCAACGGTGTCGACGGCTTCATCCGTCGGTTCAGCGGTGTCGGTGTCCTCTTCCGCTTCGGATTTTGTGTAATAATATTTGAATTAAGATGCGAACGCTAGTTGGGTTATGGAAACGTTCCATATACATACATATGTATATTTTGTGATTATTTTGCTAATGAAATCGTGTTCATATTTTGCTTTCGTTTATATATTAGAATATAAATTTTTCACTATGAATTTTGCCATATACACACATACATACATTCATACATACAAAAAACGCACATTACAAATTTGTTCTACTTTGTATGATTAAAAGCTATTGACCAAATAATTGGAGCTGTAGTCAGCTGTACCCACTTACATACATACATATATCTCAATTTTTTATGCAAAGAAGAAAATTTATTTTAGTTTATTTTCGAGAAAATGCAAATTCGAAATGTTGATTTTAAATTTTTTGCCCGCAAAACAACTGCGTATTCGAAATTATTGTATTGTCGAAAAAGAAAAAAAATCGAATTAAAACATAAAGTTATCACATCAGCGTATTCTGGGAAACCAATTTTAATACTTAAAAAATGCTATGAAATTAAGCATTGTAAATATATTTTTATTGTAGGCATTTGATGTAATTTTCTATACATGTATACAAACTTACTAACATATACTAACTATTTTTTTTATACTACATTTGTATAAATATAATAATCATTGCACAAATAATATATGTATGCATTAAATATTTCGTTCAATCGAATTCAATTTCAAAAGTAAACACACCTCGTTTTTTTTAAATAAATATCAACGAAGAGAGAGATCGATCATTATTTAGATTTCAGTAATAAAAAATTGGTTTATAGCTCAATGATCGAAGAGACATCGCTTCCTGGCTCTCAGGCATGATACTCACATTTATACGCGAACCATGGATATGAAATATAAAATCTCAAACCGCTCTCGTTTAATTTGCCGAATATGAAACAGTATAATTTTAACAATTTCGTTTTGTTAAACAAGGTCACAGACAAATAAGTTTTGCAGTGTTTGATATAATAAATAAAACAACGATTTACAAAACTAGCTAAGCAATTTGATGAAAACGGAAAATGCTCCTCGAGAGCGATTTTCTGAACTACATTAATATCCCACTAACCAATATTATTATTATTATTTACACGTGTAAATCCTGAACTATTGCTGCGAGGACCTTGATTATGAGCAAGTAGTTCAATTCAAAGTAAGTCACCTGAGAGAGATCAAATTAGCATAAGATTTCAATGTTGACATAAAGACATGGTCGTGTGATGGAAAATCTATTCTTTCGCCTTGGTTTGGGTAGGAACTTGCAGATTTACACTTAGAGTATACATACGTATGCAAGAACGTATATACATACATTAAAAACAACTACGTCCGAAGTTTTAATAATATGGCCTTCAAGGTTATTTCCAATAATTTTACACTAACAAAAAAAAAAACTACTGAGAAGTCATTTTACACAAAGCAACCATCGATTTATTTAAATAACTTTTAAGGTGCATATAAGAGTAGCATATTAGTGATGTAAAATTTAATATTTAAAGATATAATTCACAAACCGCTATTAACTTTAACACGATAATTCAGAACGTACTTAAATATATGTACAAACTCATACTTTTAATTATAGAATTTCCAATGGGTATAATCTTGAGACCTGCATCTCACTTTGAAGCGGTGTAGAGCGCGAATGAAAGTGATGTCACACCTCCCATCCACTTTATTCGAAAGATAATGAATTACACTTTTGATTAACATAATTAAAGCAACAATCACTAAAATATGTGCACAAAATAATTATATATACATATAGCTTTTTCAAAGCTTCAAATGTCAAGAAGAAAAATGCATTTTAATGAAAAAAAATATTTACAAAAATCAAATTTCTGTTAGAACTTCGAAGTGTGCGGATACATAATTTAGGCTAATATTTTTTAAGTGTCATAATCAAGCTGGAGTTGCACAGAATACATTTTCTTATTAGCGCTGCCGTTTGGAAAACAAAATAACTCTGACCGAAAAGTTGAGAGTTGAAATAGCACGTGTTTGTGTTTGTTCGACCCCGGTAAACAACACATAAACACGTAAAATATCAATTCACAACCAATCAGTTCTCCCATAACGTAATTTAATTGATCTTCGCATTTGGATGCAATAAGCCATAAAAGTGAGATGCAGTTCTTAAGCCCAGCCACCAATAATAGTTGTGGTAAATTCAAAATGTAAATTTAGATATACAAATTTATCAAATCTAAATTAACAACTCCGATAATTAGAAATACCAAGATTTTATGAAATTGTCTGACAATTAAATATAACTTGTATATTTTATAGTTTATTGGATATTTGATTAAAAGCGTACACTTATTTTTCATGAGCGTTCGCGTATACATCTGTTTCCCTGACATATTGTAGCGATCAAGCGAAGAGACATTTAATAATATAAATTAGCGCATTTTATCGCTGCGTAGCGTTAACATTTAACAAATTGTCATTCGAGTCTGATGATCATGTATATATATAAAATAAACTATAGCATTTTCTTCTGGTCCATTAATAATAGAATAACTCTGGAAAGTTAGTCTCGTATATAGGCTTTTCCGCTTGCAGTTGTTGCGTTTTATTGTCGCTTTGCGTTATTTGACGCTCCACTGCCAGCGAGTTAAACAAATCATTTAGTCGATTTTGTATAAGATCATGCTAAAAGCAAAGAATTTGAAGTTATTTCCCCTCTATAAAACAAACAACAATATTTTAGAGGCGAAAAATCTTACCTTTGGCTCAGTACGTCGTACTAAATCCTCAAAGTCACCTTCGCGGAAAGTGCGGACTATCTGCAATTGCTTTTCACGTTGCTCACGCTTCATCGCCTCGGAGGGTTCAGCTAATGCACGCTTCATGGCCTCGAAATTGTATTCGGGTGCAAGCATTTTCTGAAATTTCAATAAAATACGTAAAGAAAAATGTATTTGTTGGCATTTTTTAAGCAGCACGCACCTTGGAAACACCTGGCGAGCTTGTAACACTGTCGCCATCTGCATTATAAGCAGTCAAATCGGCGGAACTATTGCGCTGTGGTAGCTGCGGATTGCTTACGGTGTCCACCCAGGAGTGCCGGTGGGCTGGATTATCGGTTTGGTTTAGTGCATATGGTGTACCAGTTTGCAATCGATTGGAGTCCATGCCGGCATTTTGAAGACTTTCAGCTAATGCTATTTTGTCTATGGTAAGATGGGGCAGACATAAGTTAATTTTTGTGGATGTTGTCTTCTTGGGATCCAATAATGGTGGCAAAAAGTATGGTGCATCCTCCTTTCGAGCATCGATTATCTTCTGAGTATATTCAAGCAAGTTATTTACGCCTGTTACGCGTGAGATGAGAGACATCAAAGCGATGGCAATACAATGCAGATTACATTTATGAACGGCTTCCAATTCCAAATCGGCTGTGAGCGCTACTTGTTGAATACTGTGAGAAGAATAAATATTTAATTAATTACAAACTCAAATCACAGCGAGGCAGATAAAAAATATACAAAAGTATATGATTGAGTACAGTTTCATATATACGAACATATACAATTTACGCTCGTTTCAAAAAGGTACTCAATTAGAAATAAATCATTTTACAGGTATAAGAGGACGAAATAACATTACTACAATAATACATTACAATAATACTGTTTAACATTTTATTTCAGTAGATAAAAGAAACTTTGTCAGCTCAAATTCTAAATCTTCGATTGTCTCTTGTCTGAGTTTTCCAGCTAGTTAGAAATTTTTCACAGTTGTGAGAGATGTGAACTGTGAATTGGAACTTATTTTACGTTTTTGAGTTGTGATGTTGTTTTAATATCATGTGGGATGTGTTAATTATTCTAACGCACATACAGTTATTGCGGCTTACCATATATGCTCAAAGAACCCGCTACCATTGCATATATATATGTTATATATAATTGGCGCTTTGTAACCTCTGAAGCGATTTTCGGCCGAGCTCCTCCTCCAATTTGTGATTTTGCGTCTGGATGTTTTTCCAACAAATGGAGGAACCTACAGTTTACAATAAGCCGCCTCCGAACGGCTGATGGTTTCTTATAAGGAGCTTTATTTCATGTTAGAAATACACTCGGAGGGGTGACCGCAATTAGAAAATTTAGCTTAATTTTTTATTGAAATTATTTTCTATAACTTTTGGATGTTGGTCGCACGGGGATTTGAGCCCGAGCCTGCCATTACATACATCATTATATACATTCTAATTTTCTTTTAGCAATGTTTATTGTCGAGGTGTGAACATTAAGTAATAAGACTGATTATATTGCCGAGATTGTGGTAACACCGCGATGAAATTCCCTTTCCCTTTTCCCGACATTCTTCTCCACTCCGTGGATATATTTACCATCGCTCTAGCTTGTTTAGTTCCCCTGGTGTGTCGTGTTGAGTAAAAGTGTTTTCGTGGTGCTCGTCACGAAAATGCATTAACGAAATCAAGAGCAACGCGCCGCGAAAAAATTTTGCGCTAAAAAGGGCGAAACAGGTTCGGAAACGTACGTTTGGTGATAGTGCCCAGGGGTTTCGATGGCATAAAAAGTTTAAGGAGGGACATGAAAGCGTGGAATATGAGGCGCGGAGCGGGAGACCATGATCGTCCACAAAAGAATTTCTTCCACCGGGGCAAACCATAAATCAAGTCTACTATCGCCATATTTTCGAAAGGTTGCAAAAACGAGTCAACAGGGAGGGCCCAGGCATCCCTCGTATTGGGATTCTTCATCACGACAACGCGCCGTGCCACAACCGCCTTATTCGCCCGATATATGTCACCCTGTGACTTTTTTTTTGGTTCCCTAGAACAAAATCGGTTGTCAAAATAACCCATTTTGAGTTGATTGAGGACATCTAGATGATCCGTGACGAGGGTACTCGCGGACATTCCAGTCGAAGCGTTCCAAAAATGTTACGAAGCATGCAAAACGCGCAGGAATCGTTATATAGCTGCCCAAGAGACTACTTTGCAGGGTATGGTAGAGTTGTAGAATAATTTTGAAATACATGGTTTTGATGGAAACAGTCTCATTACTTAATTGTCATACCTCGTTTGCGTTTAATACATACCCAAGAATGAAAAGTAGAAACTCCTGTACGGTTTCACCACATGCCATTTCGACAATCAGTAGTGCTGCTGTATTGTAGCTGGATACAAGTGACTCAGCCCTATTGGAGAGTGCCATACTATCAATAAGGGCCTGCATTATATTTGCGCCGTATTTATGTGTGAATATTATATCGGAACGTGAAGGTGGCTCTTGCGACAATGCCGGATAAGCCTTGATCGTTACATGGCTGAGTACTTTTTCGTTTTGGTGTCGGTCAAGAAGAGCCTGGAAGATCTGCATTACTATAACACGTGTTGGGTCGTGGGGTGCCCGTGCCATCTTCAAAAGGGGCTGCAGGAATGATGCCGGGAATGCTTTTTCGAATGAAACAGTACTATATTGCGTGCCAACTTTAAGAAGCGATTTCAAAAGTATATTCTGTAGCATTTGATCTCCTTTGCTTTTCTTTGAAAGATCAGGCACTGTATTCATAATAAATAACATTATCTCTATTTTTTGATAGTCTGGATGATGATTGGCGAATTCGCCAAGTGCATTAATGAGTGCTTCCTGATATTGAGATTCTTCGGCCGTTATTTCTGTTGTCGTGCTAACGCTAGTACGCAAATGTGTTAGCAAATTGTTAATAATATCCAATGCGGAAGGTCCAACACTTTCCCCAGCGGCAATTGCTATTATCTTTGATAGCACGACAGCCAAGGAGGTTCGAGTCTTTGGAGAAGACTTGAAATTGTTATCTAAATGTTGCATTAACGTCTCCACAACTGTATATGAGTACTGTGGTTGTATGGATATCATTACAATGCGAAAAGTGTGTATGGCGAAAGTGTTTGGCACCCACAATTCATGACGGTCTAAATGGCTGTGGAGAAAAACGTGTTTGGTAATAAAAATTTTAAATTTACACCGTGTATAGTTTCTTACGTAAGCAATGGTTTAAGCACACTACGGATATGACCGAAAGAAGCACGACCAACCAGCTCGCGTAGAACTTCTTCAGCCAATACTGGTGGAGTAATATGGGTTGCATCCTCAACGGGCGTTAAGTCCCCAGACTAAAAAAAGATTGTTGCTAGTAAATACTACTGGTTAAAATATGTACAAATATGATGTATGTGTATTTACAATATTATACATTATTACATACTAATATTTACACATAATAACATTTAGAAAATATATTTTATAGAAAATCATATTTTAATTATAAAATAAATTGTTACCGCAATTAAATTTTTCTTCACAAATAAAACGTTCACGCAAAACTTTTACAGCGGCATGAAATTTTCAAAAATAAGGAAACATCATTTTCATTGAAAGACTAACATAAATTAAAAAATAATATTTACTTTTTTGCATTGTGCGATTGCAACTCACCTGCATATTGAATAGTAATGATGGCACAATTTTTTCCATATGAACTTTATCCCAAATATTTTCAACCAAATCATCCGAAACCGTCTTACGTATAACACCTTGAAGACCTTTAATGCCAGCTAACCGTATGCTATCACGTAATTCGACGTTATCGTGGTTGCCGTGACACATAGCCGAAAATTTTGATATGAAGAAATCATAACGACGATGGTACGAGGGCGTATCCTCATTTATGTTGGCAAATTTTACGAACTGCAAAAATATATTCGTAGGCTTATTTTATAAATTTAGTTTAAATTAACTCAACTAATAATAATTAGATAACGTTTTCAATTTTAAATTATAACAACTCAGTATCACAGACTATATATGTAAATCACTCCAGTTCTGTTCGGTGAGCCGATCGACGCAATTTAATTATCAGAGAAGTCTTGAATTTTAATTCATTGCTTTTAGTGGATTTAATAATACGAAAAGCCCTATTTGCCGATTATGTATGCCTGGTACCCAAACAAACTTATGAAACAATATTTGTTATTGCTATTTGTGTATAAATAATAGTCACACATACGTATGTTTCGAATAAATGTTATCGCGTACTTATCTAAAGCTAATTATTAAATAAACGCTTGTAACTGCAAGAAGCCCTTAATAGCGGGTTAGCGTTACATATTGCCATTCAGAAGGCTAGGGTTATAGTTTTAGTTTTAGTGAGTCTTTGCCTTGCCGAGGGAAAATTCTTGATCACCTTCCCCGCTGTGGTAAAAATTAGGTTTCTAATTGGAAATTGGAAGAAGTAACTCAGCGGTTGCAAAGCGCCAAATATTATTAAATCTTACACAGGGTAATACACATGTAATATATATTCGCAACTTACCGAATTTGTTGCCATAATTTGTAGATTTGGATTGGTATCCTCCAGCAATTTCTGCACCATTCGTAAAAACGACTCAACGAACAAATTTAAGGTGGTTTGAGCATGACAAGCTTGAAGAAGCAAATCCATGGCTTCCATAGCAATTTCCACAAATCTGTTTCCACGGGAAAAATTAAATAAATAAAACAAATGTTTGTATACATACTTCTTTCATTAATGTGTGTATGTACACATATACATCAACGCCTTAATTACTCACTTATATCGCTTGCGATTGATGTCTTTACTTGCTTTCTGATAAAGATATTCTCCAATTCGATCGAGCTTATCTGGTGAGCTCAAAGAGTAAAATGTTAACTTCTCCATGTTTGATTTGACTAGGCCATCTTCCGGATTTACGGGGAATATATTATCCACTAGCCGCTTGTAGCGCGGACGAAGCGCTGAGCAACAACCACAACAACCTAAAGGAATGCGACAGAAAACGCGATGGAGAGAACAGAACGTACATGTTAGGTACTCCTTTGAAGATTGTGGAAAAATTAAGCGCATACAACGGTAACTAAACATTTATAAAAACTATGTATATGTATTTTGATACACCGATTTTGCCTGTTCTGTATATATATATATGATGGTTGATGTTGAAACAACACAAAATTATACAATAATTAAAGTATAGCATTTGAAATGTATTAATGCCACAGAAATTTAAATATCTTATCGCACTTCTATGCGAGATAATGATCATAATTACTTTCCTATTTTTTCAAATCACATAAATGCGCTTACCATGCATTTTGTTTCGGACGTTGCTTTTAGACAACTTTTTGTAACTTCACATATATATATAAATGCAAATGCTAATTATGAGTAATAATTTATATTATTGAAAATATAAAACTCAAGTTTACAATTCTACCATAAAATTTTCTTCGATTCGTCAACTAATCAGCTGGCTAAAAACTATGATACCAGAGTTGCAGTTAAATTATCAGAGGTCCTCACGAAACATATAAAAATGTCTGGCAATAAAATATTACTGCAGTTATAACGATTTAAGCGTAAAATATCAAATAGCAGAAAGAAAAGGTTACAAAAAAAAAAAAAATTCTGCCAACTTTATAGTCAGGATATTGTATTTAGGGGCATTCGACTATCGCATCCAGTTGGAGCCGTGGAGGTGGTATTAGAGGGTGTGGCTGATTATAATTATCGTGCAGTGAAGAAGTGAAAATGCTTTCGAACAAAGATTACGAATATCCTGGTCGTCGTTTATAATAAATATGGATAATATAGCTAATTAAATTTTTCGTAAATGTTTCTACTACTACTACGGAGTTTGATGTAAAAAAAATTTTCTGAATCTCACATCCATCTTCACTCTAGGTGCTTTTAGTAATTGATTTGCGATGCTGTCTATAAAACTTTAATTGAGAATCGAAGCACCTTTATTAGCCAAATCAAATTTTAAGGAAATCATCTCATTGCCGATTGTCCACGTTGTCTTATTTTAGGGCTTCAATCCTTCATTTATTCTAATGCGGCCTTTCTTCTGCCCAAGGAAACATGATTTTGTTTCACTCTACTATTTTTTCCGAAATATATTATATATATGAATAAAATAATACATAGTAAAATATGTAATTTTCTAATATATCATACGACTTAATAAATATTTAGTCTTCTTCATTTGAAAAAAAAAAAATCAATCAGTTTTGTTCTCAGCTCTTCCCTCCACTTAAATGGCATTTAGCGTGGCATTGGCGTTGCTACGTGATTTTTTTTTATAGCAAACTTTCCAGTAAATAGAAAAGTTGGTAAACTTTACTAAGTAAAGTTGGTAAAAAAACTATGATACCAGAGTTGCAGTTGGTAAACTTTACTAGGAAATTTGTTTAAAACAGGGCAAATTTTGCAGTGTATGACTTCAATAATTCTTCTCAAGATAAGGAGCTGAACTTGCAATGTCATCCTTCTTTAAACCAAACAAAATTGGAATTTTCAATGACAGGAACAAATGTATGAGTATGGGCTTTGATTTTTACTTCCTTAAACGTATGTATATATGTATATATATACGTCTAAGGCATTATGTATTTATACTTACATGTTGGGTCAGTGCACTTTTGCACAAAAGTGTCGAAAAACTCTGGCAACTCCACCGGCTCAAAGCAACACCGTATTAGAGCCATTCGTTTGCCTTTCACACTTTCACAAGCGAGGCTGAAGTCCGTTATAACCTACAAGGTTAAAGTTTTGTAGCTATTATTAGCAAGAAATTATATATGTACATTCAAAGTATCTACATATTTTACAGCAATTCATACGAAAATATATATGCACATATGTACATATTTATAAAATAAGTAATGAAGGGCTAAGTTTATCATTATATACTCAAATTTAACATTTTTATTTACCAATAAAATTGAATTATCGTATATATGTATGTACATAAGGGATATGGTATTAAAGGAACTTCCAAGCTTTTGAATATTCTAAGATTATTGGACATTAAACCAACGCCATGCATACGTAGAGTGCGGAGAATGTAAAATAACGAAAACTGTATCCGGCAGTGCTAGTGATGATCTTGAACTATCGAGTCGGTACCGTTCGCAACAATTGGGCTTCTGTTACTCCACAACTTCGGAAGGATCGGGGTGCGAAGCTTTTAAAAATCAGCTGGTATTAGATAACTTTCGGTGAATGAGCGCTGGTAAAGTTGGATGTAGATCCACCTATTTATCTAACTTAAAGTACAGCGACGTGCACAAGCAAAATTGGCGTATTCGGTGTTAACTATAAAGACAAGTTTTACAAGAATTACCAACACAAAGAAGCGACTACTTCGTGCGGATTATAGGCTGGCAGCATCATTGGACTGTGCCTTTTTAAAGATGACATAGGCCGGATCATTGCAGTAAATGGCAAGGGCTCTCGTGTAAATATTACAAACTTTCTCAAAATAGAGGAGTTGAATTCGGGTAACATATGTATGGACGATGCGAACAACGACCCAATTGAGAAGGGAGCTCAGTGAGCAGTTTATTTTATGTTTGGGTTGAGCAATTGGCCGTTTAGATTGCGTGATCTAGACTATGAAAAGGTTTATATTCATAACGGTGATTTTAAAAAATTATATTCAACCGAAATATGGGTTATGTCGACTAGTAACTTATGTACATTAGTATTTAAGTGCAAACAATATAAAGCTTCCTATGCCAAGTAAAACTTCTCGATGCGATATTCTACGTGTAAGGTAACATAATTTCATTTTTCAATGGTATTTGGCGGCCTATTTTTCATTTCTTTAAACTCAAAGACCAGATCAACGGAATCCCAAACACATAGAAATATTTTTATATATGCATATATAATACATACATATGTCACAAATACGTTAGATTAAGCAAACTTCTTACTTTCCTTGGCAGATAATCAGAGGTTTATAACATAAATACTTCATACGTACATATTCAAACATACATACGCGCAGATTTATGTATATAAGTTTAAACTAACACATATAGAACTTAACAGTGGCGGTTTAGTTGGAGATGTCAAAGCAACTTGACGCCGAAAATATATAAATTAAGATGTTATATAATCACAGTACTACAGAGTGAATGAAGTATAAATTTAAGTTAACGTGGTTGATTCACCTACGATAGTTTAGGTAAAACATTTAATAACTTACGATTAAAATATTATAACCACTGCATTATGTTTGTTTTATTTTAGGCCGGTCACCTTGGATGCTTTTTCTCTCAAGCTTATTTGCATATTAGATGATGATTACTATGATAAAACTCAAGTTTCAAATTGCTTTATTGTCACTTCTACACACTGTCGCACACATATATATTTATTAATAATTGCATTTAAGAACTTTAATTTCCAAAAATTATTTGCGCATTAAAATCATTAAATAAATAAACAATATTTTCCGAAATTGTAAACCAGTTCTCACTTGTTTATATTATTTTTCCTATCTACAAAACCGAATTTTCACGACACTCAACAGCTACTGAACGCCTGAAAGTATACAATGTACATAAAAGCGCTGAGGCATGTATTTTTACGGCTTCATTGATTGTGTGAGAAAAGCTTTAAATACAAAGAGTTCAAATGAAAAGTTAAGAGAAGTTATGTATTGCACAAAAGAGAATGGTAATGAAACGTGAACTTCTTTAGGTGCTAATGGAAAATTGTGTGCGAGTTTTCACCACACCTCTGATGAAATGACAGATTTGTTGTCACCATACCTCAATGAATTGGTCGATTAAATGCTTGATAACAAGAAGGACTGGCCGAAAAATCGTAATTATACCAACCAAAAGAACGAGATGTACAAATTAGACTTTATAAGAATGCGTAAACAACGAATAAACTTCGTGCTTACGAATACTAACAAAGTCACTGTTCGTTTTATTTTATTTTTATCCCTTTAGTTGTTTAATTTTGTTTCGGAAAACTTTTTCGCCCTGCTAATTAATATCCAGCGAAGACGAGTATGCCCGACATAAACAGAGGTAATTGTGTCTGCCTATAAAAGTAGTCTCGTTTGCAGCTGTACGTAGAGAGTTTGACATTCCGCAAAACAGTTCCTTTATACCGAGTTGCTGCTAGTGATCCGAGTCGATGTTAGGTCGGAACTTACGCACATCTAAAAAACTGGAAAAATGTATTCCGTCTATTAGCACTTGATCGATGTTGTTGAGTGTTTTTCGATCTGGATACAGTCAAGTAGCTCGGTGAATTTTCTTGTGCTGGAATCTAGTGCTACATACAACCATATTTCGGTTCGGGACCCGGCGAGGTCGATCAGCCTCAACGCATTTGGGGATGTTTCGTTGTGGGGGCTGAATTTTCCGATAGTTGCGTCGAAGATACTCTCTTTGCCCACCTTGACGTTCAAGTAGCCAATCATAATTTTGACATCGTGGCGGGGCAGCGCTCATAAGTGTGCTCGAGGCGCTCATAAATATCATCCTTGGCCAAATCATCCTTCTCTTCCGTCGGGGTGTGGGCACAAATCAGCATAGTGTTAAAAAATTTGGTTTTGATGCGAATTGTGGCGAGACGTTCATCCTCCGGAGTGAATGCCAGTACTCGGCGACGGAGTCTCTATTCCACCGCAAATCCGACTCTGAATTTGCGCTCCTTTATATGGCCAACTCTCCCTCTATTATATTTCACATCGACCCACCTTCTTTCGTCCTTGTGCCGTCCATCGCATTTCTTGGACGATTGTGATGTCAGCCTTTAATTTTATGAGAACATCAACCAGCTGGGCAGCAGCACCTTTCCAAATAAGGGACCGAAAATTTCAAGTGCATCGACTCAAATCATAATCATTAATACATTTGCGGGGGTCGTCCTTAAAATAGGGGTCTCTCATCCGAGTGTGAAGGGTCCCAAGCCTTACGCATAACCGTATGGGATTCGCCTTCTCACTTTAGCTCGCTTCCAAACCGATGTTTGTTGGCTACCCAGGGGATAGATATGGTGTAAGACCGGAAGTCGTGAGTTGCCTGAACCATATGCAAAGGATCGGTTCGACAACTGATTCTGAGGCTTCTGTTCAATATCAGTTTCCGTACATAGATACAAATGTTATTAAAAAAAACACCTTGCCCTGAGCCTGCGTCAGTTTTAGAGTCATCAGTATAGATATGGGTATATTGACTGTTTCTGTCTATTCTTCCCTCATAGGGTAGATATAGTGGCCCACACTCAGCAGAAAGTTTCCGTTGCTCTCTACAAGTCTCTCTCAAGTCGGCCTCGAAGGGATATTTTTTTTATTGTGTATTTTAAATGCGACTTTTTAGTGATGCTAAATTAAACTTCGAATAATTTTACTACAATGGGGACTTTCGCACTTTATCAAGAACAAAAAGAAAATATACAAGTGTTCAATACAAAACTTTCTTTACTATAGAGAGGTGCTGTGTTTCCCATTTGCAACAAGATATCTTATTTTTTTAAGAGTATTTGAATTAAATAAATAATGCTTGAAACTGTGTTTATTTAAATGTCGTACTTATTTACACGTATATAAATTGCGGCGGCAGAGTCGAGTGGTAAGCATTGAATGCTATTACACGAAGGGTTATTTGTTCGTATCCTGGCCATATAAACATCAAAAATTAATAATAATTTTTTTTTTTAAGTGCGGTCGTCCTCGGAGCACATTTCTGTAGCAGAATTCAGTAACTTTTATCAATGCGATTTGTCGTATCACCAACTTACGATTTTCGCCGCTTGCACTAACGATTATGTCATTCGCCAATTAATTTTTAACTCCAATCCACAACTGTCATTTTTTTCTTAAAATGGGAGAAAGGTGGCATCGAAAACAAATAAATTCAAGATAAAAATTATTTTTAATTAATTCTTTTTAATAAACGACTTGTGATGGATTACAATGTTTATTTATCAATATGTTATGGTTTCCACATATCAAAGTACCCTGTATGACTCGTCGCACTGAAAGCTACATTACTTACCTGTTTTCCTGTAGATATCGCTACTATTATTTTTCCTTTTAATGGGCTAACAAGTTGATAAATGATTTCTTCAACTAAATCTAGCGTTAATCTATATACTCGTATGGATTTTGAAATTCAGATTCATACAAGTCGAAATGGGTTTCTATTTCTCGAAGGAAACTTCTATCCAATGATGAGTGGCGCGATATCTCCTCATCTTGGGATAAAATGCATGCCAAATACTCAAAAGCTACTTTCTATTTGTTTTTATATTTCTTAGGTAATTTCCCGTTTCAACTTTACTCTACAACAACCTTAATAAAATATTAACCCCTTGCACTCCAGGCCGAATTAGATCAACATTTTACAGGTACTTGGGAGAAAAAAAAAAACATTTATAAACAAAAAAGCGTATACAAGTAATAAAATTTCATTAGCTTATTCATTTAGATGCCGAAAACAACAAACTTTGACAACTTGAAAAACAATAGCAAAGATGCTTGCTGATTCAAACCAATGCTACGCTGAGACTAGCTAAACTGAGCCAAGATTTGACTACAGCGTCTGCCGAACCTAGTCCAGTAAAGTACCACAGAGAAGATTATCTTATCGCGTATCGTAAAAATCGAGTTACAAAAGACCATAGTGCGATACTCGAGTTGATACTTTAAATTAGACGGGGGCCGTATCGGCGTCGCTCGAGTGCAAAAGGTTAATATTCGAATATCGTTAAAATAGAAGAGAGAATCCTAACACTTACATGAAATGAGAAGCTCGACATAATAATATAGCTGATAAAATCACGATGGGGGTACTAAAAAATAACAAAATCAGGGATTAAAAGTAACAAGAAAATCTGCTAATGCTGAATACACGGTGTGTCACAAAAATAACCGAACTTTTTGGATATAAATTAAAATACATATTATATTATCTTTGAAAGTTATTATTTATTCAAAATAGGTTCCATTTGACTCGACACAATGTTTGGAACGATCAACCAGCGCATGCATCAATTTTTTATGTCATTCATAGAAATGTTCTTCAGTACCTCGGTTACGGCTGCTTGAATGGCTGGGATATCATCATAAAATGCTCCCTTCATCTTGGTTTTCAGTTTTGGAAATAAAAAATAGTCACATGGTGATAGATCAGGCGAATACGGAGGCTGGTCGATGAGAGAAATCCCTTTTTTCATTAAAAATTCGAGCGATTTATTGGTCGTCATTTAATTCATGTGGAACAAATCGCGCACAGACCTTTCTTTTCCCCAAATCTTCAGTTAAAATTCTCCAAATAGTGTTTTTCATTTTCGTATTCAATTCATCAGCCAACATTCTCGTAGTAAAATTTGCATCGATACCAATGATTTCACGGACTTTTTCCACCAGTTCAGCACGGTTACTAGTTTCTGGACGTCCTGCTCTAGGGTGGTCATTTAAATCCTTACGACCATTTTTAAATCGTGTAAACCACGTATAAACTTGCGTACGACTCATACAATCATCACAATAAACTTTTTTCATTACTTTTTTTCAAGTTTGACACAAAATTTTTTTATTTGCTCTTTGTTCCATTTTATTTTTGAACCATTAGCACACTTTCGGGTTTATTGAAATGGCAGTCACTTTTACATCTGTCATCCGACTTACATGATGTTAGGTGCGTTTGAAAGAGGATGAATGTATCTTTTTTATGTTGCAAATTTTCAATAGATGGCGCTTTATGTTGTATGATTTAAATATAAAGTTCGGTTATTTTGGGGACACACCGTGTATGTTGAAACAGAAGAGATTCCAAATCACCATGCAAAAAAATTTCAAATGAAGTAGAAAGACGTATTAAGGGGTTGGTAGGGTTTTCCAGGTGCTATTGGAAAAAATACTTCAACATTTTCGATTAAGTATAATTATAATGTTTTAAAAACAATTTCACTACTAGTTCTCAGCCATTTCCGTTGAAGTTTTGTTTGCTGATTTTTGAGAACACATTATCTTATTTAATCAAATATTACTCATTTAAAAAAAATCAACTTTTAAAAGAAATAAATGTACGACAGTGATATTAGACTTGTTCTGTTCTGTGAGAAATGTTAGTAAGAATTCAGAGGGAAAATTGTTTTACACTCCCAAAGAGAGAAATTTATGGAGCCTTCGCCGAAAAGGATGCAGTAATTAGCCTGTAAGTTGTACAGTAGCAGCTTATTTAGGCGGTTAAATTTAAGCCCGTTCATTCATACAGTTTATTCTTTTCTGCTTTTGAGTATTTCCCTACGTATTTTAATGAAATTTGCAGCTATATTG